GCCCCCTCCCGGCTCTCGCCGCCGTTCCCGATATCCCGGAGCCCTCTCCCGGCTCTCGCCGCCGTTCCCGATCTCCCGGAGCCCTCTCCCGGCTCTTGCCTCCTTTCCCACTCCCCGGTGCCCTCTCCCGGGTCACTTTCTCCATTTAACTAGGCTGTTGTGGCGCTTCCCGGTGGCCCTCGGTCGGCACCGGTCATTAGACATGGGCAGCTCAGCTCTGGGCTCCCCGGGACCGCTTGAGCCGGTGAGACCCGTGTGTATTTTCCTGCTTGTTGAACTGAAGGCTTCCTCGGCACAGGAGCAGCCGAGCGGGCTGGAATGGGCAGGGGGAAACCCGCAGGACACAGCCCGGTTACGGCGTGTTTGAGCGGGCAGACGTGGGGGCACGTTATCCTGTGACGAGTCGGTTCCACACCTCACATTCTGGAACACAGCAAAGCAAACCTCCAGGAGTAATGAACCACTGGAGACACCTATCCCTGCACTTCACAGACAGGCAGCGGTGAAACAGCTGAGCCAGCACAGCTGAATGAAGTACCTGTACAAAGCCCTGTTGGCAATGCACATCTTTTAAAGGATCACAAGACCTTCAGCAATGACAGCACCTGAGTGTGACACATTCCAGCTGAAAAATACTCTGCTCTTCCAGGCCTTTGGATTTACAGTGGGTGAGAGATGGGATAGGAGACAGTCTGTGTCATGTGCCACCCTCTCGGTCCTCAGCCCTCCCAAAATCTGCCGGCAGCTTGGTCCCCTCCAGGCTCCATCCTGCTCCTGCAGTGCCCCTGTGCTTGAAGCCTCTCTCCCATCTCCTTGTGGCAGCCATTCACCCCCATCCCCATCCACACACATCCTGCGGGGGACACTTCACACCAGGTCTCTGTGTGGTGAATGTCAATACACACCCCATTTATTCTTCTCCACATAGTGACAGAGGAATATTAAAAACGAAAACGAATTCAGAATTATTTAAGGGTCAGCACAGATACCACAGATGAAGATTTTCTGCTGAGAAAGCTGAGTTTTGTCCTTCTATGAAGAAAAGAGTGGCTTCTCATTTTGATGTAGGAAACCAGGCCCATTCTTTTTTACATGAGATACTGGTCTCTGTGCAAACTATAGCACTGTGTGAGTTAACACTTCTCTTGTATGGAAAAATCATCAAGAAGAAGCAATTCCTGTACCTGAGTCAGGGATCAAAATTTTTTAAAATGGCCAAAGTCCACAGTAAAGTGTCAGACCAAGTAACTTGGTTTTACCAGCTTAATAGTTATTCAGTTAGCTAATAATTACTTCACTGGCAGGGTAATATGAGCACTGGACTCTTTGACAATAGCAACAATCCCAAACTGAGTATCACTTCAGGTGACCCCTCTAGAGTGTTCAACACTGTGTGTTGGGGAGCAGAGCACCCTATGAGCAAACCCTCGGGTGTCTTCTTACCACAGTTAAATCCAAAGCAAGAGGAGCCCTCCATGGAGGGATGTCTTTCCCATTCCTCTGACTCACACATTCCTATTCCTACATCTGCCCATTTTTCAAATTAAAGCCATTTGGTCTGGATTTGGAGGGTACCACAGTGCTTTGGGCAATGTTGAAGCGAACCCAGTTAACAGCTTCCATTTTAATCACTCAGAAGTGACTCAAAAAACCTGCAAACTCTCTGTGGAGCTGCACTAAGCTCATCAGGGCTGGTTAAATGATTCACAGCTGCAGGTTCATTATTCTGCTTGGAAAGTTTCTTCAAAAGGAGAGATAAGAAGCAACTCTTCAGAGAGGGCAATAAAATATTCTCTTTTGGTAAAGGCACCTGATTTTAACACTTTGAATGCTAAAGGGTAATTTTAATGTAGCTCTGCGTTTGGCATATTGCTATTTTTCAGTAGATGTGTAGCTGGAAGTTGCTGTAGCATCTTTGGTGACCAGTCACCTGCCTGAGCCCTTGCTGCCCTACTTGCAGCATTGCCCAATGAGCCTGGGTCTGGCACAGTCGTAGTGTACATGTTGTTACTGAACAGCCCCTCCTGAACAAATCTGACTTTGATGACCATTTTTCACGTGTGGCAGAGCTGTAGCAAACTTGCTGTGCACAGTTCCTGTCCTGTTTGCAGTCAGGTGAGGGACAGCACAAGTTCCCCAGCAAGAGGAAGGGAGCTAGGGCATGGCTGTGCATGCCAGCAGGAGCACCAGGAGAAATGCACAAGGAATTGATCAGGCTGTGCTTTCCTTCATGGAAGCGTTTATTGGAGAAAAACAATTAAATTCAAGGAGACCTCTAAGTATCCCATGCTCCTGCCTGGACCGAGGTGCCAAGCAAAAAGTGCTGCTGGGACCAGCCATTGACTGCACAAGCTGCAGGGAAACACATGACAATGAAACAGCATTTGCAGTCAGGGCATATCCATGGCTGACTCCCCACCTGGGTAACCACAGCACTTCTTTGTGCAAAGGGCTTTTCATGCTGAAAGAAGTCAAAGCACATGCAGACAAAAGCTTTGGTCATGAAGCAGTCTATGCTTTCTTGCTAATCCTCTCGTAAGAGGGAATATCATTTCCTTTTCATAACTCCAAAGTTACACAAAACCCAGAGGAGAGAGAGGGTACTGAACCAGTATTTTATTTGATTGTTAGCCCCCAAAGAACATTGGTGGATCAAATCTTATTAAATTACAGCCACACAGATATTTTAACAGAGTGCATATTAAAGCAAGAGCATCCAGTGAGAGGTTGTATGCAATCAGGAGGACGTTTGCCAGACTTTTACAAAAACAATCACCTCAAAGAAACAATGTTTGTTAAGGCAGCTCAACATTGCCAGACTGCAGGCTCCTACTGAGGAAAGCGCTGCTGTGCAAGGATCAGCATGGGATGTGCTATGAGGAAACAATGTCAGCTTTTCATCTGGGAGCAAACTGTCCCTTGGAGAGCGGTTGCCAGGTGAGGGATGTCTGCCTGCTGCCATGGTCAGACGGGCAGCCTGTGGGTTTGACCTTGGTCTGCACCATCCGTCCATTCACATGAGGCTGAGGGATGCTGAGCCAGCATGCTGAAGGATGCGAGGCAAAAACAGACTGATTCATTTAGCCCAGAGTGAGGAGTTTGACAGTTCTCTGGGAGTGAGTTGGGAAATACATGCAAACGGCGTTATTTAATCTCATCGATTTTTTCAATGTAAAGAGAAGAGCATTTGAATGAGAATAAGTTTTATTAAGTTACAGTAACAATGTTTGTTTGCATTTGTGATTGGTTTGTTTTTTTAAGAAGAGACATCTTGTTTATAGAAACCTCCAGACAGTACTAGTAGGGAAATGCCATTTTCAGTGTCATGGATTCCCAGTTTTCTGGACAGTAAAACAGCCAATTTAGGAGTAATGTCTGGTTTATGCTGTAATTTACTTGTAACACAGAATTAAAGGTTTTGGTACTGCCTCTGTGGTGCCAGCTCCAGGGAAGACTTCACTCCAGTGGAACCAAATTGAAGGCTCACCTGGTCAGAGCTGATACCTGAGCCTTGAGTATTTGCTCTCGGAAGAGATGTTTCTAATTCCATTTCCTCCCCATAGCATATCCTCTGCAGAGTATTTCCTGCAGATGTGAAGGAAAAGAGATCACTGTGCCTCAAATGGGGGCACAGACCTGAAGCCTTGGTACTGTCAATGCCACTGGGATTTGCAGTGTCCCAAGACATGCCAGGCCCCTGCCCCTGTCCATGTCCCAAATGTTGTTGTCCTCCTTCTTCCCACAATAACTTAGGAAAAAGTAAGATTAGTGTTGCTCTTACTCTTTCTTCCCCCTCACAATTTCTTTTTGAAGTGCAAGTACATTCTCAGGTCACATATTTTTGTACTCATCAAAGCATCTTGATTTCCAGATTTAAGCAGCCTTTCACACAGGTCTGCAGCTGTGACAGGCTGCCAGTCTGGGTGGAAATGCTCAGCTATAGAGGTGTAATTTAGAGTATTTTGCACAGGAAGACCGAAGCTAAGTTCCTTTTCACTGTCTTTTGAAGCTCAACCCTTTATCATCACAAAGGCTGAGCTGGTTCAGAATGAGCATAAAGAAACTGGTTATCTTTTCTGAGAAAGAGGAAAACAAAACTTTGGTGGATTTTCATAGCCATAGGCTGAAGTTGGCCATGTGCTCCCACTGGGTATCTCTCACTAGTGACCCAAACCCAGCTCTGAAATGTGGTAGCTGCCTCTGCTGTGAGCCCCCAGAGCAGCAGCTGCTGGTGCCAGCTGCCAGGCACACACATCCCAGGAGTCCAGCTATCTCTTGAATTCCAGAGGCACCGTTTGGACCAGGAGCAGCACTGCTGGTGCAGCCTGCCACCAGCAATGTAGCTGCTGTGGCACATTGTCAGGTGTTCAGTTTAACTGAGCAGGGAATACATGACTGTTCACATGTTACAGGTTAAACTTCTTCCATCTCCTGCCTTTTGGGTTGAAAACCTGCATGACTGGTTTGTTCCACTGTGATGGAACCAACACAATGCTGGTTCCATCTCAGACAAAGGCAGAACCCCCAGTTCCATAGCTGTTGAAAGGTTGCTACTGCCAACAGGACAACTACAGGACAGGGAGACAGGCTGACCCAGTGGGGAAGGACTTCCAGGCTGGCAGGGAAGCCACAAAGAACACAGTTCTTGAGGACTGGTAAAAAATAATATTATTGAAAGTGAAAATAATTTAGATTTTATGCCAAAGAAATCTCAATTCACAAAGTTAAAGCCCTAACAGCTTTACACCAAGCCACAGTGGGCAGCTGGTGTGTGCATAACCAGCGTAGCTTCCCCATGTGTGCTTAGATGATGAAAGGCTTCATGTGCTGTTAAATAATTCTTTTCATTTTTGCTGACTGTTCCAATGAAAAAAATCACTTAAAACCCCTCATTCTGGAGCCCACAAGTGGGCAATTCATCCATAGAGAATTTTGATACCTGAGAGAACAAGGTCCTGAATGACCCAGTCAAAGGCAGAAGTTTGCATGCTGTGGGCAGAAGGTTGACTTGGTGGTTTCCAGAGGCTTTTCCAAACCCGTTTTCCCCATGATTTTGCAATCCCTGTGTGATGCTTCCCATCTGTCAGATGAAGGCTTCAGCTTTCTGCCACAATCGGCTGCACGCTGGATATGTCTGTCCTTGCAGAGTTCCTCTGGGAGGGTGCCTGTGCCTTCTGGCACGCGCTGCTTCTTTTGCGCGGGCAGTTCTCAGCCTTGGCATGCCGGAACAGTGGGGAGATGGGCTGCAGAGCGTGGCCCTGAGCCGTGCTCCTGCGCTGGCACACACACAGCAGGGAGCGGAGCTCCGTGCGGAAGCTCTCGTTCAGCCAGCAGTAGATGAAGGGGTTGTAGCAGGTGCTGCTCATGGCAAACCAGTGGAAAGCGAAGTACAGAGCGTTGCTGCTGTGGATGGCCCTGCAGGAGATCAGCACCACGTAGCAGTTCAGGGGAAACCAGCACACAGCAAACACAACCACCACCACCATCAGCATCTTCAGCGTCATCTTCTTCTTCCGCTGATGGGCATAGTATTGCTCCATGGTGAGGTCCCCAATGGCATTCCTCAGCCAGAGCTTTTTGGCCACTATGGTGTATGTGATGGAGATCACAAGCAGGGGCAGAACATACAAGAGAACAAATGTAGTCAGGTCCAAATACTTCCAGAAAAGATCAGCAGGAGGAGGGAAGCTGGGGAGGCAGACCATTCGGATGGTTCTGTTTCTGAAGATCAAAGAGAAAGAGCTCTCAGTTCCACTGCCAGCTGCACACAACTGAGGACAAACACCTCAGACATTCAGGCAAGTTTCAGTACAGGTAGCTGAACTCATTTGGTATCATGGGCAGGTGCCACTCTGAATGGAAAATTTTACTCTAGGTTTGACTTTTGGCTCCAATGAAGGTTATCTTAAACACATCCCCAGGAAAATAAAGAAATCACCCATATTGACATCTGTGTCCTCTGCTGACGAGGAGTCCCTCTCCCCTGTGCCTGCCCCAAATGACATGGTTGAACCTCTGAGCCCAAAACAACTAATGAACCAGCCTGGAAATAATTCCATTGATTGGCATTGTCTCTGTGTGACAGACACAGCACCCATGTGAAGGGAACAAAAACTTCTCTGTTTCACCACCCTTTCTGCTCTAATAACATGGATGGAAGGGTGTGGCCTTGGCTTCTCTGGGGCTTTGCAAATGTCATACAACAAAAAATATGTAAATGTCTTACCCAATATAAAACCTTGTCAGAGTCTGATAAATGGCGTGAGGCAGTGAGAAGCAGCTGGCCATAACCCAGATGATGATGATGCAAATCCCTCCTTTCACCATGGACATGCGTGGCTTGAGAGGGTGCATGATCACCTGCAGAGAACAACGACTCCTGAGGACTTTCAGTATCTTGGTCACTCTTTGAGCCCCATGTTGCACGTGACATGCAGCAGCAGCTCCACATGCCTTCAGGGTTAAAAGGCAGAGACTTGCTTTACAGGACTTCAGGGAGCACAAGGGCTGGGAAATGCACGGGGTTGTGCACATATTGGGTGTTTCTGCTGGCCTAGAGCCTGAGCAGAGAAACACACTCTGTGTGACACATCAGCAAGACTTCAGAGACCACAGTGGTGAGATCTCTGTTGAGCTATACACACTGTGGATGGTTACCCTAGGCAATGAAACAGTAATTAAAAATAGACCTATTGTCTCATCCAGATGATCACTTGGCTGATGAAGTCTTTGATATTTTATGCATGTTTTTTCTAGTCCCATTGTAAATACCTACTTAATCAAGTCAACTCCCCCGGAGTATCTGTCTGCCGCGGTACTTCTCAAGATTAGCAATATTTTTAGAGGCAAATGCTGGTTTCTCTTTTGTCTGGGACAGACCCCCACTTGTCTTTATCTCCTGGGGCCATACTAGTTCATTCCAGCTCTGAGGAACCCACTCCACTCAATTTAAAGGCATGCATTGTTTGGCCTTAATTAAACAAACACTTCTTGATATCTAGCCGTGCTTTGCAATCAACCCAGAATCTACTGATGAAAATGCATCACTGTCAAAGTGCTTGTAATATATTGTACATGAAGTGGGCAGACTGTAAAACCCTTCGTGGTAAAAAGAACAGAAGTGGCTGATCTATGCTCCAGCAGTCCCTGTGATTCTCTGACACCAGATGGAGCCAGTTCTTGTTCTCAATTTCATCCAGCCACGGCATTTATCATGTGAAGTTGCTTTTCCGTAGCAACTGTTTCAGTGACTCCAGCACTGCAAGAAATTCAGTCTGCCTGAGAGCTCACTTTGCTGGATCTGGCCACTCAGCACTCATCAGCTAAAGAACAAATTATAAACTCTCTTAAAGAAACTTCAGTCTGTACTCATTGCTTGACCTGAAAGGTTTTCCTAGTTGGTAAGTATCAGGGCTGGAGGAGAAGGAGGGAATTTCTTACCTTGAACTGGAAGAGTTAACATAGTTCTTACTGTTTCCAGCCTTAGGCAAGGACAGGGGCAAATGTCAGAACAAACAGACTCTCATAAATTGTGGAGAGAATGTGTGGGCTGGCTGATGTTTGAATTCAGCACTAATCCTCACCCTACTGGCAGAGCTGTGCTCTGAGACAGGGCTGAGGAGGGCAGGGCCAATGGCCCAGGCAGAGCAGGGTTGGACCAGGCTCTCTGGCACTGATCTCCTGAGGTTTTCAGTATCTCCAAGGACAGAGACTCCCACTAACCACATCCTCTCTGGACAGCTTGTTGCAGTATTTCATCACCCTCACTAAAAAACGTGTGTTTTGTCACTGCCATGAAAGCTAGAGTTATCCCCTCTGTTCCCTGAGTCTCTAGACAGTGCAGGCTCCAGGTACTGGGATTTGAGGAGGAAAAAAATATGTGTTTAGCACATTATTTTCTAGCAAACATAGGGGTGGTGTCTTCAACATACCTGGTGCCGGTCCAGTGCAATGGCAGCAAGGGTCAGCACAGACACGTGGACAGAGCAGTACTGAACAAACCGGCTGATGTGACACATCAGCTTTCCAAAAACCCAGGTGCTGCTCACAAACCTCACCTGAAGAACAGACAACATCAGATTAAGAGGAGCAGTACCTGAAGAGTAGCAAATTGGCAAAAGGTGCACAGTATGGAACAAATGCTTTAATACAGCTTTCTGAGGCTTTGGAGGTGCTTTATCCTCAGTTCTTCCTTGAGAAACAGTGACTGTGGAGGTCACTGTTTCTCAGACCAAGAGAGGTCTCAAATTGAGGTGGGATTTACTGCACTGTGCAAACCAATGGCTTGAGCAGTGCTTTGTGTATGTTGTGTACATTTGTACATTTACCATGGCCCTTCTGGAATACATAAAGAAATCTTAGCTCTGCTCCTCAACGTGGCTCTGCAGGGGACACCAGGTGCCTCCCAGAAAACATTATTGCTTTGGACATGTGGGTGCTGAAAGCTGCATTGTCTCCAAACTTAGTGAGAGAAATCTGTGGAATCCATCACCTGTTCCCAGAGAGGTGTAACTGATGATGGCTTCTCTGAAGAGAAGAATGTGCCAAATTGCCTCATTCACTTATTATTCCTGACTGTGTAATATTAAGTACAAATTAATGTCACTCATTTTCCTGCAGATGAAGCTAATTTGAAGTAAAGTAAATTTACTACAAAGCATCTGTCCACAGAAAATTAGTCAAGACTAGCTAATCTGTTTTCAATTAATCTAATTAATTTCCCTGTAGGGGCGACTCTTGCAGCGCTTTCACTGAACTGGAGCAGTGTGTTGGATCTCTGGAGCTGGTGTAAAGCTTGTTCCCGAGAGAGCAGATAGAAATTTAATTACACGTGCCTTGTGTGTGGCTGTTGGTGTGCGAACACACAAGAGGGCACCAGGCTCTCCCTGAACAAATTATGGATGCAAATCCCACCAGAGAGAGCAAGGCAAGGAAATCCCACCAAAGAAACAGCATCAGTTTAGGAAAGGGTGAATTCAAATAGCTAATTCAAGACCTGCTTTTGGAAGGCAGAAGAGCACTCTGGGCAGGGATGAAGCAGGAGGATTTTGAACAGGAATGCTAGGTCTAATCCAGGAGCAGAGTCCTGTTTATATGGCATTTATAGTCTGTGACAGTAGGGCAAGAGATTGATCTTTAATTTTTCCCACCTCATACATTTAATGTTCTTTTGTATAATATATATATTTTAGTCACTGAAAATGAGAAAGGACTGTTAGTCCCAGGAAGCACCGTCTGTAGTGGCTGAGGGAGGGACATGCCACTGACACTGTTCAGTGCAGCCTGAGCACTTCCCTGAGATGTTGCACAGGGACTGACCTGGTTCATGTTGTTTCCATAGGAAACCAGCCCTTAGCTGTATTTTCTCATGTCAAACTTGTCCCCACTTCCTTCCCCATCTACAGGCAGAAAGGGCTCCCAGGTCTGCACCTTGCCCGGAGAGATGGAAAGCTGCAGCAGAGTGACCGCTGCAATGGACTGCAAGGTGAGGGCATGAGCCCCCAGCTCCGCTTGCTCAGGGGGTGTTTGGGATGGGGGCCATGACTGCACCCTCTGAAGAAGGCAAAAGGGGAAGGGGGGCAAAAGTTAACTCTGGATACCAGCCTGACCCCAGCCCATTCCATCCTAGTGCACACAGCTGACAGCACACACAGACACCAGCAGGCACGGCAGGACAGGGCTCACCAGTGTGAAGGGGGTGTTCAGGGTGGTGATCATCACGTCAGCAATGGCCAGATTTACGATGAAAAGGTTGGTGGCAGAGTGCATCCTCTTGTTCTTGATGACCACGTGGCACACCAGGATGTTGCCAAAGAGAGAGATGCAGATGATCACAGAGTAGGCGACAATCAGCAGCGCCTTCACTGTCCGGCTCTGGGACTCGCCCTCATACTTGGCTCCGCTATCAAAGTCTCCCAGGTCCTCCAGGTTCAAGTCACTGTGGAAGAAGGACTGGTTAGGGAAGCCGTACAGTGCAGAGAAGAAGTTGGTCACGTTGTGGTTCTCCGCTCTCCAGAAGGGCTTGGGCATGTACTGCAGGGGGAACCAGGTGTGCTGTCTCATGGCTGGGGCAGCGGAGCCCTGGTCCGGCCACACGCTCATCAGCGCCTTCTGCCAGCTCAGTTGCTAAAGACAGTGGTTGTAGGAGGGAACACACACACTTGCATTTTAAAAATCTGCCCCATGGCTGCAAACTAGAGAAAAGAGCTAATAAATGGGTCCTTCTGCCTGTGCTGGGCACACATCAGCTTCACCTCAGAGGATCCTTGTTAAGTTCCATATGTCCCCCACAGAGAAGTTGATTCAGAGGCTGAAATATCAGAGATCCCCAAATACTTTCTCTCTGCACCAAGGAAGAAATCTTAGTGAATATTTCCTTTTTGGGGACTGTTCTTCTTTGATCTGCAACTTATCCTTGGAAATCTGCTTTACTGGTTCTCCACACAGTCCTTAATCCATCAGGTTTCTGTTTCCCAAGAGTTTTCGGAGCTTGGCAGAAACAAAAAAGCAAGGGCTGCCTTTCACTTTGCTTTTCCCCCTCCAAGTATCTCTGGCTACTCAGTGAAGCAGCTTTGCTCAGCAGCAGAGTGGTCCCTGTGTTCCCTGTGATATACACAGCTGCCAGATGACACACTGCACAGGAAGGAGCCAATGGCAGATCTCTTCCCAGTTTTTCCTGAGGTGTATCACAACCCACACGTCGGCAACAGCACAGCCTGACGTGCAGATCCAGAGAGCAGCAAAACACAGATGAAGGGTGATGTGCTATGATCTCCTCTGTCTGCTCTGCTCTTCTCTGGACACGCAGCACAGCAGCTGCATGGGGGTGAAACATCTTCACTGCTTTGTGGCATCTCTTGTTCTCTTCATCCCAGAGTTTTAGCAGAGAACATCTGAGGGCCTTGTGCTTGGTCCCAGCCCCTTCCTGCTCACATGTGGTGCAGAGGATAGAGTGAAGTGCAATCTGACAATGAGAGCAGCAGCCCAGCATGCACAGGGGGCACCCAGGATGGCCGGCTGTACTCCACATCCTGGCTGGGCTGGGGTGTGCACTCAGCCCTGGGGTGTTCAGGCATCTGCTGGCATCTCTGCAGCAGCCTGGCAAAGGCTGCAGGAGCACACAGGGCTCCATCCCTGGGCTCCTTTGCCCTGTTCCTGCCATTTCCCTGCAGTGCACCAGGAGGGTGAGGGGGCAGACCAGCACTGGCATGCAGGAAGCCAACAGCAGTGAGATGTCCTGGGCACCAGAGGTGGGTGACTCTCATCCCATATTCCTGCAGAACAGATTTATTCTATTGCAGGTACAAACACTTCAGCAATCACATGCTGGTTTGCTGCAGTTATTATTCACTTGTAAACATTATGAGCTGCTCAAAGCAGGTTTTGGGATTCATAATGCGTTGGTGCTGGCTCCTCTCAGTCAGAAAGACAAAGCAAGGCAGAAATGTACTTTTGCCAACTCATCCAGGTGAGCTGTGTCACCCTTTGTTTCTGTACAAGATTTTTGGCTTTCACATGTTGACACTATTTGCGACACAATTTTTTTTGAAATTTTCTTTTTTGTGAGATTATTTAGCATTTACCTTGCTAGTGCTCTTTTGAAAGGAAATGTCAGATCGCTGAAATGTCATTTGAGATTCATATCCTCCTTCTGAACAGATCTACTGTGATCTAACATAATCTCATCAACAGATCAATGCTGATGAGGACCAGAGAAATCAGAGCTATGCTATAAAAATTCAGATCCTTGGGAATGTTAAAACACCACATTTCAAGCATTTTCACAGGTCATTGCCATGGTTCACCACCTCTGCTCATGGAGGCCAAGGGGGCTGTTTGGAACAAGTCCCTGAACTTGGTGGGTTCATGGAATCTTTCCTGTACTTCAGGGACTTTTTCCTTCCTGACAGAGAGAAGTGAGAGAATTCAGCAGTCACGCTCATTATACAGCATGTAAAAGCATTCAGGGTCGAGGCTGCTTGCACTTGCAACTGAATTTAAGCTAATATTAAGGAAATGAGCTCTAAAGACATGATTCATCTCCATTACTGGACAGAATTTAATGATGAGGCAGATCATAATAGCAATGGAGATTTTCTCCCCAGGCTGTTACTGTAAGCTCAGTGGGTACATGCATTCAAATACTTGGCCCTGTCTGCTCCTATGAAGGTGTACAGAAAATACTTTCATGACTGGAGTATTGAGCTCAAAAACTGAATAAAATTGTCCCCACAGGTCCCTGCAGATTGTTATATTTCATATTTATGAGGTATGTAAAGACTTCACAAGAGGGCAGACAAGAAATCCTGCAAACTCGAGACCACTGTGTTAAAATTTTTCCTAATGCAGATATTCCCATCATGCTCCAACTGTGCATTTTTTGGCTTCTTGGTCTTGTCCATCCATCCTTCCCCGAGCTCCATTCCTGATGCTGAGTGCAGGCTTCCCACATAATCAGCAAAGGAGGTGAGAGCTACTGGAGACCAAGTGCTACTCTGCTTTGGGTCTGCACAGAGTTGATGTCCCGAGCACCCACCAAGAAAGCGTCCAGCCTCTGAGAGAATCCCCTCTCCTACCAGCTGGGAGCTGTGCCACACGAAGCAGGGAGCACATGGATCCTGGCAAAGCCTAAACCAAGGCCTGCTGGTGCAATAATGAGATTTCTGGATTGAAAAATAAAGTGTCTCTGCTCTGCCATTCAGACCTGAAAGCAGTTGGAAGCAGACAGGAAGTTTTAGTGCCCGAGCCTCGTCCAAAGGGAGAAAATTCAACAGCTGAAATTGTCAAGTCCAAACAAGGAAAATTGAATTCAATGTGTCTGTTGCACCATGCAGCTTCTTGTAAGATTTCTCTGCCCTAGAGAATTTCATAGTTTATCCTCTTCTATGTTAAATACAAGTTTGTTAAATAACAGAAACAAGAATAACTATATACCAGCCCCTGAGGTTTTATTTTACTCAAAATGTATGTTAGAAGTGAGTCTGGATGATACTCATAAATCATGAATCTCAGCTCTGACTTTTTTCATATTTGCTTTAGTGCACTTAGGACACTGCACTCCTCTTCATTTGCAATGACTAGTCCTGCTTTTGTGACTCAGAAAACATGGGATGAACAGGCACAGGCATTTTCCAGGATATTTCATGGACTTAATCATAAGACTTAATAAATAAACCACATTCAGTAATAACAGAGTGAATACCCCAGTAATACATTAAATAAAGCAGTTCTGTAATTCAGACAGGTGCTAACCATTCAGAACCACACTATGCACAATGCCTTTCTGTGCAAGAGAGCCAAGGTTTGGCTCCTGGAGAGGGAAAAATCCTCTCAGCCCACAGCAACACGAGGGTCACCTCTGTGTTCCTCCATCCCACTCACATCATTCACTGCATGCTCCCTCTTGATATATCTCCCTCTTGAGAGCCATTGCAGCTATAATCCAGCTTTTACAAAGCTTTTTTACATTTTCACTTCCTGAGGGCAGAATTTTAGGCAAAATCATAACATCCACCACTCTCAATACGGTAAATTTACCAGTCTCAATGGCTTTTGTTTTTTCCCTGAGAAAAATCCCTCTTTCTGGGGGAAAATTTGAAGGAAAATTCTGGGCACAAATTGTCTCTGCCAGTTACTCAATTACATCCCCTTGAAAGAGTATTTGAGCTTTTATTCTCGGAGCTTTCTTGGAGGCAGTGTAATTGGATTCTCATGCTTCAGACAGACGGAAGGAACAAACAATGCAGGACATGTGTGGGATACCAGGGTGCTGATGCTTGACTTAGGAGCTGGAAATTACTTCTTCAAATACGCTAGAGCAGCCTTTCTGCAGTGAAGCCTGACATCTAAATTCTTCACAGTGAACTGGAACATTGGGGAGGAGCTGCCTGGCCTTGGATCCAGCTGCTGTGCTGTAATGGACCACGTCCTTTCCTAGAGAGCAGCCTGGGTGAGCTGGTTGTCCCTCACCTGGCGAGCAAGAACTCCCCAGAGCCTGAGGAAGAGTCAGCTCCAGGCCATTGCCTTTATGAAGCTCGATACAATGTACCAGACAAGTTTACCGTGACTTCTCTACTGTACCTGCAATTATTTCTAATTCCATGTGCCAGAGACACAGCAGGGACCAGCTGTAGCACACACAGCAAAGCACTTGAGGAGGGTAGAGGCATGTCGTTCTCAGCTGAAAGGACAAAGTTATATTCTAAAATTTCAGGTTATTCCCTATGACTGCCAAATGGCTGTAAATTAAGGCCAAGGGAGTCTCAATTGGCTCAGGACATGGGATTTGACATGCACTAATCCAGAAGATTTGCTCTTGGCGAAGAAGGCTCAGCAGATACAGAGGAGACAGGACATACAGGGAGTTGGCATGGCAACTCTCACTCATGTCCCTCAGGAGATGGAATGAGCACTGCCAGGTTCCAGCAATGACGGGAGTTTTTCACTTTCTAGAGGTTTCAATACCAGGAGAAAAAGCCAGATGGGTTTTTCCAGAGCCAGGTGACATTGGCAAAGGAAGGCGAGTTGCTCTGGAAGCCTCTGTCAAGCCCTTTTTTCTTTGTTTGAAGGGTACTCCTCTGAAAGGATGGAGTAGACTAAAAATTACTTTGAAGTTTCAAAAAACTACAAAAAAAATTCCCAGTCTGACTTTACTAGCAGCTACAAATGTTCAGACAGGAATCAAGAGCCAGGGTCCTTGAATAAGTGATGCAGAAGATAAAATATGATTTGAAAAGAAGCATTTCTGAAGACAGGGATGCCATGAGCCCTGAACACACAGTTCCAAAACCCACCCATGAACAGCAGATTTCTTTTTCAGAGAATGACTGAAGAATGGGTGGTGTTCTGCAGGTTGTATTCTGAAAATGCTGTTTTTTCACTGAAGATCTGTATGAAAGTCAGGACATAAATGTCATCCCCAACAATCTGAAGTTTTAGCTATTGACCATCCATTTTACCCCATTCAATTAAAAAATTAATTAAAATATCTTGTTATACTTCAGAAGCAAATACTTCTTTAAAATAACAAAATTTCCAACTTTAGTCTCTCAACCCAGAGTTCAGCTGCTGAGTTTGGGGTCTTGATACAGAGCTGAGGAAGCAAATGCCTTCAGGGGACGTGGCCCTGCACAGGGGTCCCTCAGGGAGGAGAGTGGTGGTAGAACAGTGGTGATGACAGACTGTGAGAAGCAGAAAATGGCCTCATCTCAGGTGTGGGGAGGTCTGGAAGCATCTCAGCCAAGAGATCACTCCTCACCCTCACCTGCCAGCACTCATCTACCCCACAGTGCCCTTCACATCCTTGCCAGTCTGGGCATCTCCCACTGGGATTCTTTTGCCCTTAAAGCATTCACAGCCTTTTTCAGTGCCTCTTACTCATTACTGGATTTTGTTTTTTCTTTTTAATTTCTTCAAATATTTCAGGGGCTAAGTTTTGGAAATACTGATGAAGATTCCAGCTTGGGTTAGTTTGCATTCCTAGTATGAAAAACATTTCTTGCATTCATTCCCTTCTCTCTTTTCAACTACCCTTTATCTGACTGCTCCAGGGAAAGCAGAATTAGCCACTGCTTTGTTTTCTCTCCTTACAGCCCCAGCTGCACTCACCACAATTCCTGGCTTGCAAGAGAAAAAAGAAAAATTTACATTTACTTTTTCCTTTAGACGCCGGATGATCTGTGAATGCCCACATCTCTTTTCAACATCCAGAATTTCAGGGACAGAGGCACCACACACCCCAAAGGCAAGCCTCTCTCTAGCACACCGACACATGGACGCCCCTCCTGAGAGCCCTCCTGACTCTCTGGGCTCCAAAAGGCTCCTTGGCAAGCTGCAAGAGTGATGTCAGTGCTCAGAAGTGAGTTCCAAACAAGGGCTGTAGCTGGAGGAAAGCTTGGCAGGATGTGTGCAGCAGGGGCACAGCTGGTATTAAGGGGGTTTTGAACATTTTTCAGCTAAACCCTACCAGCCCTCAGCACTTCTTCACAGAGATGGAAACCAACTGCAGAGCTTAAAGGAAAATGCACAGCTTCACTGCTGTCCTGATGGAAGGGTGATGGCCCTACCAGCTCATTCCTCTCACTGACCCATTTCTGAGCACAGACCAACTGCAGCTCATCAGGAGCACAAAACCAGACATTATTATGGTACAATCAGCTGAAACCTCCCAAAATTGTGCTGTTATGTAAAATTACACAGCTGCTACCCTCTCTCCATAACATCCCAGCCTTTCTTCTCTTCAAACTGGGGAAAGCCAGGTGGGTGGTATCAGCAGTCAGTTCAGGGAAACAGAGAGCCTTTGGAAGAGCAAAAATCAGAGCCCAAACTGCTGCTCCTTGGGTTTGGCTTTGGATAATGTAGCAAGAGGTGATCTCAGAGCAGTCCTTCACAGCTGAGAGCAGAAGCTGGGGACAGTCCCAAGCTCCCTCTGTGGCACCAGGTGGTTCCATAGCCCCCACCAGGCAGCTCCATTCCGAAATGAGTAGGCTGCCCTGGAGCTGCTGCTCCAGCACAGTGCAGGTGGCAGCAGCTTGGTCTGGAGGGACTGCATGTGACACTTGGATTTGAAAGAAAGCTGAGAAGAAAGCTGAATGTGTGTCCAGGAAGAGATGGTTATTTGAGCTAAAGGTAAAGAGATATTAGAAAAATTACAAAATCCTTTAGAAATATCCTTCTACCTTTTCAGTCTCAGGCTTCTGGTCTCAGTGTGTCTCCTGCTGTAGAGGTCTGATGCTGGCACCAGGATACAGGGCTGTGGCATTATCCCCTGCCCTGGCACAGGTCCCTTCATGGGGGATTGCATTTTTTTCAAAGTACCACCAGGAATTTGATGAGGTGACTTGGCAAAGGTATGGGAGATAACAGGGTGTGTTTATAAAAATTACTGTGTAGAAGTATTTTCAAGACAGAAGAGTGAACAGTCAGGTCAAACCCTGCTCTCTTCCCACCACCTGCCCAGGGCAGCCAGGGGAGCTTGGGACACCACAGCCTGAACTCCCCACTCACCACCTGGACATCTGGGAGCTGTGGCCATCAGGATACTTCCAAGGAATGGGGTGCACTGAGCCCTCCTGCAGCCCAGCCTGAGCACATGGCCTGTCCTCCCTGCTGCTGCCCCCAGCATCAACCCCAGCACTGCTCTGCTGATCCTCAGGTCAGCACCAGGCACCTCTGCAGTCCCAACACCAGCACCCCATCAGTCTCAAAATTTCCCCAGTAAATCGCTTTCTCCTTTAAAACCTTTCCTGAAACTTTTTAAACTCAAAGTTACTGTATTTTAAAGTTCTTGTCCATACTGTAAATTGCCAATGATCAGCAGAGTAGAAATTATTTGGTCTTGTTTTCTCCCCAGCACACAACATTCTACATTCCAGAAACACAAACACATTCCAAAACAGTTACTTGGCAGTGCAAGTGTAATGAGACAGCCTTTGTTCTTCTTTATTTCTCTGCAACATGAGTGACAAGAGAGAGTGTGGGGAAAAAAAAGTCAACTTCACCCAGCTAAAATAAGCAAGAGACAAGAACATCTTCATGTGTTCCCTGTTAAGCAGAAGGAACACAGCTCAGCCAGACCCATTGGCAAGTGCTGAACCATTCACTGTCCTGGAAGTAACAAAAAAGGAAAAAAATGTTCTGAACGTCAGATAAAGCCATTCCAAAGGACTGAATCACTGAGAATAATGGAAGCTCCTTGGTGCAGGGAAGTATGTGCTAGGGAAAGAAAAAAGTGTCTGAGTCAAATCACCCTAAAGGCTTTACTTGATGAAGCAGCCTGATGAGATCTCACCTGCTTCCAGAACACATTTTTTAAGGTAATGTCATTAATACTGGTGAATCTCAAGGAGGAACAATGCCACCAGGGCTGCAGTCATCATCATAACAATTTTCCTTCGAAGACTACCATTGTATCTGGGCTCTCAGATTGGAAGAAATGCCTGAAAGGAAGTAACTGAAAAAGAGAAAGAAATAAAGTTTGAGACTGTATTACCTCTTTTCTAACAGAATTTGAAAAGAAATACAGAAGTCGATGAAAGGTTTTTTTGTGACAGAGACTACACAGACTACAAATTCCTACATTTTTTTATTTTCTGCTGTTGTTTACTTAAATTAAGGACCTTCTCCTTAGGCTGGACAGGCTCAGGCATTAATCAAACACAGGCAGCTTCTCTGAGGGCTTACATCTCCTCTGGTCACCAATAGATCATGGCTGCAATTGCATCTGTCCTGAAATCAGTTGTGGGGGAAGAGGGGAAGATGCAATTTGGGAGCCAAAT